CAAAACAATATTTTAACAGCTACTTTCCCTGTTTATAACAATACACGGGATATAGAATTAAGTGCTCCTTTTGCATTTTCGTTTATTTAGAGCATGCTTATTGATCTTGATTTGCGGAGGACGTTGGAATTCAGTATAACCGAGCTCAAACGAGCATCTAATCTCACAGAATAGGAATCCACTAAAGTTATCCACTATTCGTGCATTCTTTAATAGTTCTACATAGATGGCTTAGCGTGAAGCCGTCCTTAATCTTTGTCTTATAAAGAAACAAATTATCTCATTGTAATTAAATCACTTTTACTAATCTACTCGGACTGAATCGGGACGAAGTAGCAAGATGGCCCCATTTTCTTCCAAGTAAATTATGCCGTATAAAAAAAAAAATTAAAAAATCCGTGACGTAAGAGGATTACTTCAGTGAATTTTGAATCTAATTTTCGTTCCACATCTGAGATACAAAGGAAACTTGAAATTTAAAAGTTTTAATGTTTTTAACGATATAAGTATCCAGGAGATGAAAAAGTTGATTAATCTGTGGTTCATTTTAAAATCAAATTCAATAGGAAAATAATATAGAATAATAAAGCAGCATTATTTTCATTGAAATTTGAAAGTTTGTAGATATCTTTGTTTTATTATGATTAGGTTAATTACCCCGTATAGCGAGTAGACGAATTTTTTTAAAGATTCAATTTTATTTATTTTTTATAATTTCAACATAAATTTCAATTGTTAAAAGGAATATGATTTAATAATTTAGGGACAGCTATTTTAGTGAAGATAAAGTTAATACTCTCTATCCCACGACCTCATATATTTCACTGACTGAGATCCAATTAGAGCGACAGTAATTTAACTTTAGTCGGGTCACGAAATTTATCGCTAATTGTTATTCGATATGATAAGGTTACGTTTCCAAGTTATTTTGCTGAGACTCGTATGTGTCATGTATTCCTTGTTAATATCCTCGCCTACTTTAAACCAAAATTAACAGTGGGAAGTGTGAAAAACTGTATAATTTATATGGCAACAATCGTTTAAGCATGTCATTGAATTTAATTTTTGAAAACGTAACAATAAAACATTTTAGATTTGCTGCCCACATTTCGAATGAATTCAAATTCATTGTATGAGAGTGTAGCAAATCAAACTTCATACTGGTTAAATCACGCACGGCTACGCAACACATTTCTCGCGAGTCCTCCTAATCCTATATATTCCAGAGTAGGTATTCCAATGGAAAGTTTTCTTCAAAATTCCCTGTAAGAATTATATCACAAATAGCACATCACGAATTAGGAGATTTAGTGAACACAGTCGAGGTATTATTAGGTGTATGTGTTCAAAAGCGTAATGTTTGGGGCCTGCGAGCAATATTTTAAGATATTTTAACGTTATGAATGAAAATAGACGCGTCTTTATTTTTTTAAATATAATTTAAATATCTTTGGATATTTAAATGACAAGCAAAATTAATTAATTGAGTATATATTCAATTAGTTAAGTCTTTAATAATAATATATTATACCTTTTGAAGTGCTTGAACAAGGAAGCGTAATGATTTTTTGTAATGAATAAATTTGTACTATCATTAAGATAAATGAAAATTATTTTAATATAAATCTTTTTAGTGTTTTCCTGATATAACATTCAAAATTATATTTTTATTGGTTCCAATGAATGAAGGCGAGATATTTCCTAAATTCAGTTTTATAAAAGCTATAACCTAAATATAAATTGATATAAACGGAATTGCTTTTTTTTAATGTAAAATTTGAAATTGTTATTGAATTTGAAGTAACAATAAAAATATAAGTCTAAACTAAGTTTTATTGAAATGTAAACAACCGATTCCAATATAACGTAATCATCTCTGTTATAATAGCACTGAGTTTTGAATATCATAAGGAATATCTGAATAATTTAACATTGAAATGAATTAATACGTATTTTAAAATATACTGTTTTTGAAAGAAGTTTTGTAATGTTTAGTATTTTAATACCACTTAATAAAATATTTATTTTTTATTCGATATGAAGTTGAACAAAATATATAGGGATTATTTTTTCTTTTTGTATATCAATTATGTTTTATATATGTAATTTAAAAACATTATTTATACATATAAAATAACTTTGTAAAATAGGAATATTTAAGTGGTTGGTTATCATATAGCAACGTTTTTGATAAGGTAATTCAGTGCTTATAATTATTAGGAACAAAGAACTTTACTTTTCAATTTTATAAAATCGTTTGGAAATAAATATCTCTCATATAAAGAGAATCATCGTTGTCTGAAGTAACACGTAAGAAAACTCTTTGTTTTAAATATTATTGTATGTTCAAAATATTTATAAAATTGATTCATACTACGATATTTATAATGGAAATACGAAAGCGAGATAAAGATTTCATATTCTAGGGCTGCAACAATACGGATATATATTCACCAATCACTAGCCATCTTTTAAAATATGTAAAGAGTTCTGTCTTGTTCATCTAAAACAAGCTGATAGGTAAAACTCAAAAACAAAAGACGAAGTTTAGCATGAAAACCGTATGATGCGATGTTTGCAACTCAAAAGACCCTGTATTGGCAACTAGTATATTGGAACGAGCAAATAGCGGCGAAGCTCCCTACATGCATGTAAATCTGCCCGAAGCAGCGATACTCAATACAGATTGAAACGAACGGCAGCTTAACATTTTTATTGGATACAATGCACTTGCATCGGCATGGATTTAAAAAGGATTAGCGAAAAAACATGATACAGCGAAACAATAAAAGGTACGGATCAGTTTTTTTTCCTTGTATATATTACTACAATAAACTCAGTAAGTGGTAAGGAACCTGACTTCGAAAATTGATACTTTACTAATACAACAATTAATTATTCGTAGAATTTCAAATATTGATTGTTTTGAATTGGATATTACAATGAACAGGTATATTGAATATTATAATGACTGGTAAAAATAACATTTCACGTCACTTTTATGCTGTAAAACTACTGTACATTTAAAGTTCTCGAAATGTAAGTATTCTTCATATGTTCTTGTGTCTTTGTTGATTATGCGGTTGTCCTTTCTACTTCTTTCTACTATTTACTGTGCTATGATTATTACTATCTCACCTCAAGGCAGTTTTTTTTCTAATATAAGAGTTCTCAAATATTTAATGTAACATAAGGGACACATTTAGATAAACCATTTTTTTCTTATGAATATGTGATTACATTCTATTATGAGTATTTCCGTCACTAGATTTGGAGTTCCCTATGATCTTAAACCACACTTTTTTTCCGAATATTAAAATTGCGTTGCTACTGTAATCCCTATCATAAATAATTTTTTGAGAAAACAGTAATAATAATTAACTGTAACCAAGACGTGTGTACAAGACGTGACAGCATCTTGACAACTATGATTACTCTTGATTAGAAATATGGTTTGGCCTATCTACAGACAGAAGATAATTATATACAAAATTAATTAACTCCACGCTCTTGACCAGTCGAAAATTACTTACTTAGTATTTTATCCCTGAAAAGTACTATGAATTTTAATTTTGTTTCAAAATTAATTGTGTTAAAATCGCTTTGTTAATTTATTCACGTTTGGATTTTAGGCGGTAAATAAAAGTAAAAGGATCAATATGAATATTCATAAATATGTTTTTACCAATGAAAGAATACTAGTGAAAGAGACGGACAAGAGAAAGTTGATGGAGAGTTGATGTAAGTAGTAGTTGATTTCCCATTTAAGATTTTTTCATTCCCATTTCCCAATTTAATATAGCAGTTTTTATCTGCTAACTCGAATAGTGTTCTAAATTTTATTTTATTACATTCCTTTGAATCGACAAAAATTTTACTGTGCATGAAATATTTTAACATACTAAAATAAAATAAAAATATTCTTAATCAAATAAAGTTATAATATTGTTATCAAACTATTCGTCATTTTTTATTTCAGAACGATTATTCTTTATTGAAAGGTATTTGTTCTAGAGATAAAAATATATTTGCTTTATCTTACTTTATACTCAGAATAATTAAAGAAACAATCTTCTGCTTGTATGTTTTATTGTACGTTGCTATACAAAACGAGGGAAAATGCAATGCAGTGTATAAATAATTATAACAATTATTATGTGTATTTGATTTGCGAGACAGTACTGGATTATTTATATTTGTTCACGATTGGTTAGTTTAAAATAAAATATGAGCGAACAAAATACATTAAAACTTTGTTTCTCATTATTACTCTATTAACGTAAATTTGGGCTCGGCTATTAGTCGACCTTTCTGCATAATAAATTTTAATTCAAATATCATGAAACTAAACCCTCTATTGTCTAATGGGTTGGGACTGAAAACATTTATGTAAAATAACAACTTGCTTAAAAATATTAAAGTTTAGTCCTGATAAAATAAAATCATCAGCTATACAAATGATCTTGGGTGATACTGTTTTGAAATTTTATACTTACTTATTTACCTAAATTAAAGCTTGAAAATCTGAAACACCTTAGATTGAGATCGTTAAAAAGAATAATTATTTTTCTGATTTTTTGCTGACTTAAAAGTTTGAACTGTATTTTGTTTACAAATTTTGCTTGTGGTTGTAAAGCCTATTTATGTATCTACTATGTAGTCATTTTTTCATTACATTACTGTGAGATAAATAGTGTAAGATTGAAACTTATAGTTTTCAAGTTGAAAGTATTAGAGAGAGAGAGAGAAAGAGAGAGATAGATTTATATCAATTTACTCTTCTTTCGTTACATTTTTATTTTAATGAGATCTAAGATTTTCGCGAGTACACATTTAAATGAAACTAATATTTTCGGATTTTACTTCGCGTTTTACTTTTGATTAGAAACTACATACTCCCGACGTTTCGGCTACTTTTCAGCAACCGTGATCACGGGCAGACGAGATGTGAGTGTCTGTCAGTTGGTCTGGTCCGTTTATCTCCTACCGCCATCGATTTCTTAATTGTCTTGTGTACCGCTCTGGATGCCGACAACGGTGTCTCGAGGTCCTGCGGTGTGGTCACGGACATGGGATTTTATATTTTTAAGAAGAGGATCCCAGGTGTTTGATAGGTTCCAGCCATCTTCTCTATTGAAATTGGGGTGTTTTTTAATTTCAATAGCCTCGCGGATTAACCTTGGTATATATCTGTCTTCACGAGCGAGGATCTGTGGTTTATCAAATCTAATGTAATGGCTTGGTTTGTCCAATGCATGTTCGCACACTGCTGACTTCGACGCGCGCCTATTCCTGACGTCTGAAATGTGTTCCTTAACCCTTGTACCGATGCTTCTCTTTGTCTGTCCGATGTATGACAAGCCACAGTCACAATCAAGTTTATATACACCCGCTTGTTGTAAAGGAATGTTACTCTTGATTGGTCTCAAGAATTGGCTCACCTTCTTATGTTGTTTATAAATAGTCTTGATTGAAACCTTCTTCAAGATGTTGCCTATTCTGTCAGTAACTCCCTTTACATATGGTAGAATTGCAGGTTGTCGCTCAACTGTAGGTGGCTTTATCTGGTTCTTCAGTGCTGGCGAGGCAGGGGCAGGTTGTTGATGGTCAGAGCACGTCTTACATGCTGCAGCTCGGCCTCTAGGTGGTCAGCATCACAAAGGTGTTGTGCTCTCTGTAACAAAGATTTACCAATGGTAGCTAACTGTACAGGGTGGTGGTGTGATTTACCATTGAGATACCTATCCGTATGTGTGGGTTTCCTATAAACAGTATGTCCCAAAGTATTGTCAGGATTCCTGATGACTAGTATATCAAGGAAAGCTAAAGAATTATTTGCCTCTAATTCTATAGTAAACTGGATCTTATTATTGATAGAATTAAGATGGTTCAAGAAAGCAGATGTTTTGTTTTTATTTAATATTGTGAAAGTGTCATCTACATAGCATTTATAAATTAAGGGTCTTATTGTAGGAGACCTAAGGGCTCGCACCTCGAAGTCTTCCATGAATATATCTGCGACAACGGGGGAAACCGGCGAACCCATTGCTACTCCATCTACTTGTATGTAGAATTCATCCTTCCACATGAGATAGCCAGATGTTAGGCAATGCTTTAACAATTCTGCATATTCAATAGGCATCTTATTATCCTTTAACTTACCTCTTACAATCTCAATGCAGTCAAGAACAGGTAGATTAGTGAATAATGACTGTACATCGAAACTGACCATAATGTCATTGTCTGTCAATTTTAGGTGTTTAATGTCATTGACAAACTGGTAGGAATCCTTAACAAATGACTTTGTGTGGCCCCGGAGTGGTGATAATATCTTTGAAAGGAATTTAGCCAGTTTATATGTTGGTGAATCAATCTGGCTTACAATTGGCCGTAATGGAACATCTTGTTTATGGATTTTAGGTAACCCATACAATTTTGGTGGTTTTGAACACGATGGTACGAGTGATTTGATATCCAGATTGAGTTTAGAACTGTATTTATTAATTAATAATTTTGTTTCCGTTAAAACTTTACTGGTCGGGTCTTTGTTAACTTTTTTATAGACAGAATTATCCGAAAGAATTTCAGTTATTTTACTATCATAATCACTCGTATTCATTACTACGGTCGCGTTCCCTTTATCTACACGGAGGACAGTCAGGTCTTCATGTTGCGTAGGTGTTTAAGTGCAACTGATTCCTGACGAGAGATGTTTTGTCGAGGCAATTTGCTCCGGCGCAGAACATATGATACGTCCTGCCGGATTGCCTCAGACTCTTCTTTCGTGACATGATTCTTATGAAGACATTCCTCAACGTTACAGATAATGTCTTCGAACGGTAATTTTGAAGGTGCAGGTGCAAAATTTAATCCTTTTTTAAGGATCTCAACGGTTTGTTTATCTAAAGTTTGCTTTGACAGATTGACAACAGTCACCGGTGATAGTGTTGCCCGACTTAAATTAATATTATAATTATTGCCATTGTTATTTCGATCTATAATTTTATCCGTTAATTTTTTAAATTTATTAATTTTTTTTATTTTTAGATTGATTATACGTTAATTGTTCACGTTTATTAATAATATCAAAACATTTTTGCCAATCTGCCATTGACAAACATTTTTGTATTTCATGACTCAGCAAATCAATTTGAAAATCTAACTGCCGTGCATCCGATCGATGTTGTCTGATAAGATGACAAAGTAACCTTTTACTTGCCTGATGGAGTATCCTGCCGCTATGTTTGATGTCTTTTTTAGGTGATATTTTGACACATGTTGGTATGATGTCGTGATCCCGGCATCTCTTGAGGAAATTCAAGGATGTTAATAATCTAGCTTTCTTCGTCTTGAGGTACTCCAACCGGCGTATTTTATTGGCAATTTCCAGTCCGTACTGGTTCACATAATGAGATCTAAGATTTTCGCGAGTACACATTTAAATGAAACTAATATTTTCGGATTTTACTTACTTCGCGTTTTATTTTTGATTAGAAACTACGTACTCCCGACGTTTCGGCTACTTTTCAGCAACCGTGATCACGGGCAGACGAGATGTGAGTGTCTGTCAGTTGATCTGGTCATTTTATCTCCTACCGCCATCGATTTCTTAATTGTCTTGCCTAAAACTTAAACACCTAAAATTGACAGACAATGACATTATGGTCAGTTTCGATGTACAGTCATTATTCACTAATCTACCTGTTCTTGACTGCATTGAGATTGTAAGAGGTAAGTTAAAGGATAATAAGATGCATATTGAATATTCAGAATTGTTAAAGCATTGCCTAACATCTGGCTATCTCATGTGGAAGGATGAATTCTACATACAAGTAGATGGAGTAGCAATGGGTTCGCCGGTTTCCCCCGTTGTCGCAGATATATTCATGGAAGACTTCGAGGTGCGAGCCCTTAGGTCTCCTACAATAAGACCCTTAATTTATAAATGCTATGTAGATGACACTTTCACAATATTAAATAAAAACAAAACATCTGCTTTCTTGAACCATCTTAATTCTATCAATAATAAGATCCAGTTTACTATAGAATTAGAGGCAAATAATTCTTTAGCTTTCCTTGATATACTAGTCATCAGGAATCCTGACAATACTTTGGGACATACTGTTTATAGGAAACCCACACATACGGATAGGTATCTCAATGGTAAATCACACCACCACCCTGTACAGTTAGCTACCGTTGGTAAATCTTTGTTACAGAGAGCACAACACCTTTGTGATGCTGACCACCTAGAGGCCGAGCTGCAGCATGTAAGACGTGCTCTGACCATCAACAACCTGCCCCTGCCTCGCCAGCATTGAAGAACCAGATAAACCCACCTACAGTTGAGCGACAACCTGGAATTCTACCATATGTAAAGGGAGTTACTGACAGAATAGGCAACATCTTGAAGAAGGTTTCAATCAAGACTATTTATAAACCACATAAGAAAGTTAGCCAATTCTTGAGATCAATCAAGAGTAACATTCCTTTACAACAAGCGGGTGTATATAAACTTGATTGTGACTGTGGCTTGTCATACATCGGACAGACAAAGAGAAGCATCGGTACAAGGGTTAAGGAACACATTTCAGACGTCAGGAATAGGCGCGCGTCGAAGTCAGCAGTGTGCGAACATGCATTGGACAAACCAAGCCATTACATTAGATTTGATAAACCACAGATCCTCGCTCGTGAAGACAGATATATACCAAGGTTAATCCGCGAGGCTATTGAAATTAAAAAACACCCCAATTTCAATAGAAAAGATGGCTGGAACCTATCAAACCCCTGGGATCCTCTTCCTAAAAATATAAAATCCCATGTCCGTGACCACACCGCAGGACCTCGAGACACCGTTGTCGGCATCCAGAGCGGTACACAAGACAATTAAGAAATCGATGGCGGTAGGAGATAAAATGACCAGACCAACTGACAGACACTCACATCTCGTCTGCCCGTGATCACGGTTGCTGAAAAGTAGCCGAAACGTCGGGAGTATGTAGTTTCTAATCAAAAATAAAACGCGAAGTAAAATCCGAAAATATTAGTTTCATTTACATTTTTATTTTATAAGACATCAATTCTTCCTCTTAAAGAATTCAATATGCGAAAATAGCTAAAAAAATATTTTATCAAAAGTCAACATATAATTGCATTAAGAATAAAATTCCAATTATACAATTATATTATATAACTCTCTTAAGTTATATTTTGAAAGCCATATATGTATGTAGATGGTGCACATGATAGGTTATAGTATATTTTTGTGTTCTCATGGTATAACATTAAAATTGTTACATTTAATCATAAAAATGTGAAAAGTCTAGTTCCAACAATATTTCAGATCATGTAGCATCTTGGCTGTCCCAGTCCATGTAAAATACGCGTCTCCTGGGAAATTTATTCGCGGTATACAATCCTAAGCCTCTATAATGTGCCTTCAATGCTCCATTTCTTCCATAGAATTAGTATGAATACATATATTTTCTAAGCCGCAAGACTCAGGAACGAGATAACTTGCTTACAATTATTTCTTTTGACAATATTGGTTGGTTAATTCAGTTTACTCCTTAGCTTATTTTTTTTTAATTGCGGGGTTTTTTATTTGAATCCTTAGTCGTTTGTTTAGGTGTGTGTGGCAGTGGTAACGTAGCTTTACAACAAATTGAATGATTCCGATACAGTTTTTATCACTTTAAAGGATTTTTTCCCTGTTTCTGCTCTTTGCTATGTTTAGTAAACATCGGTCGAGCAATGTGAGAGGTTTTGCTACTCGATTATGTATATCTCGCATGAAAGTTAAATTATAAGCAGTAGGAGGTGTAGTAGTATTGATTTTCAATTAGTAAAATTTCTTTTTTTAAAAAAAATCTGTTATTGAAATCATTGATAGAAAATACATTATCTATCTATATATATCTATATCTATATATATATATATATATATATATATATATATAATGAATTGCTGTTCGTTAGTCTCACTAAAACTCGAGAACGGATAAACGGAATTATCTCCTCTTAGTCTTGAAATGTTGGTAAAGGTTCAGGGAAGGTTTAAAAGTTAAAAAAAATTGTTTCATTTCCGGGAAAACTCTAAAAACAGCCCTTTTATTTCCCATACAAACGTTTTTTTGACATTAGATTTGACAACTAGCATTCTGTTCGATTGAAACAGGAAAAATTTAATAAATACCAATACCTGGTTATTTAAGACGAAATAGAGTTCGCCGGGTCAGCTATACATATATTACTAATGACGAAATTAGCACGGACGCAGTCGCGGGCAAAAACTAGAATATATTGTATTTGTTATTTTAGGCTTCATTTATATGTATTAAAAAGAAACTGATTTAAAATATCATTTCACTAACCTTTGAAAAATTGTCAGTATGCTTTTTCCAAAATTGAACTGCAGCTATCAAGGGGCGTAGCAGGTGCATTCTAGTTTAAAATTCACACGAGTGTATTGAGATCGGAAGGATTGGATTGGATGTTGTTTGAAAAAACAGCAGTCATTGTAATTCGTGGGAAATGACCGGCAATGCGTTGTCACTGATGCTGATTCTAGAAAAAGATGTAGTGACGACTAGTTTCACGATAACTTTATTATGCTTTTACAAATCTTTTAAAATATTAAAGCTGTTTTTCCTAAAATTTACTAATTTATGTTTCATAATTATCAAAACAAAATTTGGACACTTTAAAAGCTATACAACAATTACTATACATAATTTAATACAAATTAAATTTTAAATATGCATCAACTCTGTTTTTTCGAATAATTTTTTATGAATACTTTTCGCTATGCCCTTGTGTTTTTATTTGAAAACCTGTATTTTGTTATAAGTAAATATTATTAGTTCACGAATGATTTGATTCATAGGGTTTTATGTAAAAAGTAAAAAAATAAAATCTATCAAAAAACAGCATTTCATTTCACGGTGAAAAGTAAAAGTTAGTGCTACTTTTTTCACGATATTGCCCTCAATTTTTCGATCTGTTGGCAAACAATAATTAAAACGTGAGCTTTAATAATTATATTCTATATTAAAAATAAATAAAATATCATAATAATATAAATGATACGTAATTTTCAATACCTCATACCGATACAAAATTATATAATAATAAAGTATTCGTATGTGTAATACATTTTAAGATTTTTTTCTGTTACCGGTACAACAGATAGTTTCTATCTTTTCTTTATAAGATACTTCATTATAATTGGCAGATGGCAGAGCTTATTCAGAATCAAACAAGTCGCAAAATAAATAACAAGATGCACATTGATTAAAATAGCGTAGTGATTTAGATGATTTTGATTTAATCATCTATGAGGTTACAGAGTGTACAGATATATTAAAGTAAGTTTATTAATAGATTGATTTAAATATAAGAAAAAGAAAGAAGGATTTTACCAAAACAATAAGATCATACATTTTAAAGAGTAATTTAAATAAGCTGATTTAAAGAATTTATGAAGTATTCACTTCATTCCTTTCTTCTAAACACACACAAATTATATAAGTTATTTTATTTTTAATATTACTTACAATAAATTTTCTAATAAAAAGCTATTTGCAACAAATTTTCTAAGAAAATACCTTTCTGCGAAACCATATTAAGAGACTACTGTGATAAACATCCTTTAATGTGAAGTCCTGGAAGAAATGCGTAAATCATGGAAATTAATGGAAAATTGGTGACCTTTTGTAGGACAATTATGAATCTGGTGTTAAATTAAATCATTGTTCAAAATTTAATCAACAGCAGCGGAAGAATGAAGCCCTAACTGGTTCACTGTCGTAAGCCATTTTTCATAATTAGATGCAATTCGATTTCATTTCATTAACACTACGTTACCTATAAGAAAACTATCATCATATACCAAATAGCTGACAGAATAATTAGGAAGTGTTATGTCAACAAAACTAAGACTTCATAATACGAGTATACTTTATCAAGCACACATTGCACTATTTACAGTAAAAAATGATTATTAAGACCCGTTGAAATATGTCCTGAAAATTTGTTCTATAAACCTTTTTTTTTTTTCTGGTTGAAATTATAACTGTTTGTTATTACTTCTGGAGAAGTATTAGGAGAAAAAATCTTTACTTTATTTAATAATGAGAAAAAAGATAATATAATTTTATGCCTTTAAATTTCATTAATGTTGTTTCAGAAATCACAGAATAATAGGAAATCAATAAATGCATGAAAGTGAATTTTACCCCTAAAATATATATCCCTCTTTTTGCCAAAGAAGTTAGCGAGTGGAACTTCATGTTACAAAGAATTTCAATTGTAGTCGGCAAAGAGTTGATTCTGACAATTGCATTTTTCAACGCTGTGTAGCGTCCCTGTATGATTTTGATAAAGGACTTTGAATTTAATAGTCTGGAAAAAGTAAAAAAAAATCATAAAAATTACGATTATTTCATCAATTTTGAAATATCAAATATATGTTATTGATATAATTAATTTGTTAATAAATATTATATACATTTTATTGATACTCAATAACGAAATTTAAATTTATTAACAGAGAATTTTTGTAGTCATGATAATTTTTTAATAGGAGTGTTAAAAATTTCCCTTTGTATTTTAGGACTGTAAGGTATGTAGTTTGTGCAGTAATTTATTCTTCCTTAACTATAAACAAATTTACCGTAGTGATTCTTATTTTCCCCTCAAACATATACGAATAGGTAACTTAATCCAGAAGCGTATATCATCGGCGAACAGAGAGTTTGGTTCTTAGTGAACTCGTGTGAAACATTTGAATTATTTAGTTCAGAATTTCAAAGTACTGAAAATACTGGTGGAGATATTACCAATGTTCACATCAATAGTTATACTAAATAAAAGAAAGTATTGATTTATTCAAATCGTGTTTGAGGTTTTTCACGATATACATATAAACACTGCTTTCAATTAAAGTATTCAAGTAATTTAAAATTCAAATCTTATTTTGGAACCAACTAAATCAATTGTCAGTTGATAAGTATTATTTTTACTCGTGTATTTTTTATATGAAAGGCGTTTATGAGTACGATATCGTTTTACCAATAAACGATTCCGGTTGGAAAGTTATGTACTAATAGATAATTGTAAGCGACGTATTCAATAATATGATCGAATAGAACAACTTTAGAACAAGTTAATCAAAATATATATATTTTGATAATATGAAATTGCGTTTAAAATATTTGCTCTCTCTTAATGTATGTATACTTAGTTTTTTACATTTAATGAAATTATATTTGGCGATAGGAGAAAAATATTATCGTTGCGTTAATGTTAAATATTATTGTTTGATAAATAAATTATATATATAATAAGTATGGAAATGATTTATTCATACCTCCAGGGTTTATGTCATGTTATTAGTAGCGAGGGAGTAATAACTGTCTAAAATACACATTAGTGGCTATTTTGTTTAAAATATTAATTAGATATTATGATTGTGTAATTATTTTGTTTTAAATTAAAATGACATGTCACCCAGCATAAATTTCAAATATAAATGTATATGTTTTTGTGTCAACGTTTATTATTATATTAAAACAAATACGTGATAATTCAAATGGAAAGAGATCTTAAAATACTTAGAAGTTGTGATTTTATTTCATGACAGTTACATGCAATAAAAATTGACTAAAAGAAAGTAATGACGATATTAACGAAAGCCCTCTTTATTTTTCTTTTGTACTAACGGAGAAAATCTGCCGAATTAAGTCTTAAGCTCGTGTCTGTTTTACATAAGGATTTCGTTTTCTTTAAATTTGTGCAATATTTATTATAATTCAAGTAGCACAAGGATCTCGTTTTATTGTAAAAGTGAACTATATTTACATGTAATTTAAAAACAGAGAGCTATAAAAA